TTTTTATACAAGTTTCTCCTTTTCTTCCTGACATTAAACAGAATAATTATTAGCGCTTTGAATCCAATATGGGAGAGCTCTATTTATCCTTCTATTATTTGATGATTATATTTTTTTCAGAGCAGCAAATGTTCTTCGCAAGTGTTAAGAAATAATTTTCTGAAATTCGACCTAGTTATCATTCGACCTATTAGACATATTAGTCATTACGACAAACATATTCAAAATATTTCCATTCCTCAGAAAAATTAGCATCTTGCTCCAGTTTACGTTGCTACGTCGAAACTTTAACAACATGATAATTTTTGGCTAAATTTGATTTGTCAGCAAGGCAGTGTATGACTTAACAAATTTTCCTGGTTTTGACGCTCTTACACGAGCTTAGGCCTGCTCTCAATTTTGTAACACTTCCACAATTCAGAAATGAGAGCTTTCTATGCCATCCATTGCAAATATTATACGGTTAAGATCTGATGTACATCATACTAACCACAACCCGTACTTTACCTATATTTTTCGAACGAATTTGAACAAAAAAAAATGAATGTTTCTATCAAAGGTGACTTCTACAATTATAAGCCGTTCATGTTTAACATTAGATTTGATAAAGAGTCACAAATTGTTGAGATATTGTAAATAAAATCTAACACTCCTTCTTAATTCGAATTACGTCATACAAGTATCAATCCCATCCAAACACATTGAACCGTCATTGGATTCACTTCGACAAACAGATGAAAGCAGAAAAAAAGCATTTTCTAGAAGCACTTATTTTGTTTTGAGTAGAATGGTAAACCGGTCCTAACTGATTATGCTGCGATCAGTTGTGTGTTCATAAATTACGTAACGCAAATAAATTGTATTTTTCCCTCCCACTGTAACAAAGCGCACACCTCTATCAATAACTCCTCCCTCGTGGTTGTATCGCATAACAATCTCATTCTCAAGCAAAGAGAAGGCTTAAATCAAATTATTAGTTGTGAATAATGAAATCAATACCTTTTACTTCAGATTCAGTGGGCAAAAACTGTGTTTTTTTAGTCACCCTAAAACAATTATGGAAATTGCGCTAAATTGAAAAATTCAAGAGATACAAAAATAATTTTTTTACGATGTTGCTTGTAATTAGCTGAGCTACAACGTTGCCGAAGAATGTATACTTTTATTACTGCAAATAAAAGAATTAATTTTTTGATTTCAATGATAATATGAACCACCCTAGTATTCATTTGCATCAAAATGAGGCCAAACTGTAAGGAACAAATTTGTAGAAGGCATTTTTTTTAAGTTTAAATATCAAGACCACTGTGCATTGAAGCTTTGTAAATTTCCAAAGGTTTAAAATTTATTAAAAATAAAAGAAATAAAGAAGAGTTTTGCTATTTAATTAGAGTATGTGGGACAAATTTTCGAACGATTGAACTCGCTACGACAAAAGGTTGCATGAATTCTTACCAATTCCGAAGTAAAATATGACCGCATAGTATTTTAAATATTCTTTCATCAATCAAACATAATCAAATTGATTTCGACTTTTTCTCAAAGAAGATCTTTAGTATAATTATTATAGTTAGGGATGCTAACCGTCAGATATCAGACTTAAACTGGTAATTTTATACGACGGATGAGGAGATGAAAGTATAGAGTTGATAGTTCCGTTAGAGTACGGCAGTGTGAAAATTGTATATAAAGAGTAGAAAGCGAGAAAATTTCAATTTTGTGGAAGGCACGAATCGGGTTGATCATCTCCTTTACCAAACTCTCATGGTAGGTGCCTCCCTGAGCGAATAAACTCGCATGTCAATCTGGCAAACGAATCTCACGCTCGAGATTCTCATGCATTTTCACGCACTCAAACTGACAACGTCAAAATCATCGGTGATTTTTGCCCAGTTGAGTTTACCAAGGCAAAACTCATAGGTGAATAAACTCACGCATGAGATTTGAGTTTTTGAGTTTTTCCGGCTGTAAAAATAAAACAACTGACTACATGCTATTGTAAGAACTACCATAACAGAATTAGTGCAAGATACTGAAGAAAAAATCTGCACATTTGATGATGCAAAGTTTAACATTTTCACTCTACAGTGTTTAAACGTTTCTTGCTCTTAACAGTGAAGAGGTGTTTATATATCAGGGCATGATTGCGTTTTCTTGAAGATGATAAGGTTTATTAGACTTTTGATAAGTCATCAGTGGAAATTCGCAAATTCTGAGAAATTTGGTTTAGGCCACGAAATTTTTTTGAATTCCGCGAAATTGGTTGAAAATGACGACTTGACACTTTTTTTATACTATTATGGAATGTAATGATTTTTTTTTTAGATGATGATGAAGTATATTGAGTCAGGTTTTAGCTACTCTAACATCGATCTGATATTGCATTGATAATTTTCAATGGTCAAAACAACTCATGTCATTTTGGAAGTAGTTCGTTCCAAAAAAGGATATGTTTGAAGGAATGAAAATGTTATTTGCATGTTTTTTCAAATCCAACAAAAAATGCTTGAAATATGCAACATTATGAAACCGTTGACGAAGTGGTTTTTAGATCAATGAATCACTTTCTCAAACAGTTTAAAATTACTCCCACTCAAACATTTAAACAAATACATAATACATATATGAAATAAGAGCATTATTTGAGACAACCAAATTTAATAAACCAGGCCATTTTCTCGCGAACCGAAGTCCGCAAAGGCAAAACAACATAATGAACAGTTAGGGAAAATTCTCCTCTACCCGATTGTGGTTTAGGTTTGCGAATGAAGGTTTCGGTTCGCGAGAAAATGGCCTTACAAGGTTTGTTTACAAAATGGAGTTAAGGCCATTTCAATTGTTGGTCTTGAAATATCAGAAATCAGGAAATAATTGCTTTTCGAGTAAAGGTTCCATAACGGCCCAAAAGATTGCGATGCTGCCGAGCAGATGGAAGCGATGCTTGCCAGACTCCGATGAAAATTGAATTGCTACCTATAGTCGCTTCTAAAAGCTTTTTTTAATACGCTTTCCCGTTGTTACGCTCCTCTTACTAGAAAAAAAATGGTCAGGTTAATAATCCAGAGTATCAATGCAGTAATAGAGCATTTAGGGAGCACGGAGAAAGATGTACGGATTTTGGTGCTAAGCGGTATGTGTTGCTTGTTTTCTAAACCTAGAAGAATAACATAGAGAATCTGTATCCGCACGAAATCTCAAATAACCTTCATAAAAATAAATCAAACCGGATTGTTGCTTTGAGGAAAAATATTCATGACATTCTTGAGAATGCGTGTACGGTGAGATAGTGCCGCATGGTATCACAATAATTGTGTAGCGTTTTTTAATCCTAGACTAAGCTCCAGTATGTATATTACTCAAGTAGCATTTATCGAGGTTTTAAGCATCCTTCAAGTCTAAATCATGGTCTACAAAGTAATGCTAAAACTTAAATTGTTAGTTGGGTAATTGGGTTCTTTAATTTTGAAAAATATATCGAGCTTCGTTTTCTGAAAGCGATGTTTTTTTTTCGAACCCACACACTTTCATCTCGATTTTTAAATCAAGATTTAGAGAAAAATAAAAACTTCACTGTTTGACACTAAACTGATAAATTGACAGCTCGCTCCCATACAAAGTGACACCGAGGGGCGCTAATAAGGTGATTTTTGCAAATGTAATCATACTTATTTAAAATAGTTACTGTGTACCAACATTGATTAAATTTTGGTTTTGGGTTCCATTTTTTATTTATTTATTTATTTATTTATTTATTTATTTATTCATTACGAATACGCATTTACCTCAATACCTATAAATAACCCAATTTCCATGTAAGCTTTTATTGTCATTGTAGCCCCCTCAAATTTCTAGTTATAAGCGTCAACACGCGTTGATTTTTAGATTAAGGAAAAGGGTAAAATCAGTGATAAATAAATCTTCGATTCACAGTCATCGCATAATTTTCTAGGAATATAAATACTGCCATAACAATCGATCTCAATTCCTTGCATTGTCGAACGGTTTAATGTAGCTTGGTGTCGGTCTCGTTAGAGAACTATGTTAACTTACATAAACAATAATGAAGAATAATTGGGGAAAAGAAATTGAATAATAAGCCGGCAACAATTTGATGAAGTCCGCCAAAGCACATTAGCCTATATTGTCTGAAAGACGTTATTTGTTTTCTCTGTTTGACGATCGTGATCATCCAGCGAGCATTTGCAGAAACATTTTTTTTCTGAAATTTTGCTATCATGAAAATTACAAAATTATATAAAAATTTACCGACGGCACCATTATAGACTCTGCTAGTGCGGGGAAACATTACAAATTGCATATTTTTTATGCAAATCTTTAATAGATTTTTATAATATAATAATCCTCTAAAGTAACATCATCATCCACAGAACGACCTCAATGCGTAGCAAAATGGAAGCGGGAAGCCGCTCAGTAGATGTCAACCATGATTATTCGATCGTTGCAATCTGACAATTTTATTCGCCAAATGTACAAATAGGAATGAAACGTTACAATTAGTTTCCTTCGTCGTTGACATCTGTACAAGTGTTAACATTTCTTACACTTGTACTGCAAATTTTCAATGATGAGAAATGCCATTCATGCAAGACAAGCATATTTCTTTTCCGGTCTAGTAGCTTTTCGCCACACATCATTCCCTCTCTCTTTTTCTCTACCGTTCGGACTAAATGAAAATCGTACACATGGATGTCGTACACTGGGCAGCTGGGAGCGACTTCTACTAGTTTTTTTCTTTTATCGTGAGAACTGAACTTGAATGGAGACGATGTGAAATTTGATTCATTCGATAATTTTTACCATGATTCATTACAGGGAGCAAAGTTTTATGTTTTTTTTTTCTCAACCAAATCTTCCAGTGAACGAATGTTATCCATCAACGCGTACACAATAAATACATATGTGTCACATATAATCTAGTTTTTTTTCATACCTTCCAGCGTGAAAGTTAATTTCTTCTGTTTTGCCATTTTTATTTTCAGCTGGAGAGTTGGGAAATGCGGTTCAAGATGCATTTGTCATCGCGGTTGAACAGCAAGCAAGAGAAAGACTGCAACGCCTGTCGGCTCTCAAACGAATCACTCCGGTTGACATGTCTCAACTGTCTATAAAGGTGAGTTAGTATTTTTATACTCCTGGTGAATGGATTATAGTAAAGTTAATCAATTTGATTTGCATGCTTTATCTTGAAAGTGGTAAACATTGTTTTTTTTTTCTTTTTGTTTTGGAGTGGCTAATTGCGTTTCAGCTGGAACAGGTGTCGGTTCAAACTTGTTCTTTGGAGCACAATTCCACAATTATTATTTGAGAGTTTTCGTAGATTGTCTTCACAAGTTTTTGCGCTCTGTGTGTCAAACAGAACATCCAAAAATTCCAATTATCGAAGTTTGGTTAGTTGGACTTGTGATTTTCCAGATTTTAATTGAGGTGCCCTTTCAAAAAAAAAAAAATCGTCATGTACAAAAAAAACTTATGCTACGCTTCACATTTCAAGTGCAAGCTCAAGCTCGTTACGCTTCATTACAATTTCACAATAGTGCACCGCCTTAGTAGCTCGATACCGACTCACGTGCAGCCTATGGATTTGCTGCATATAAAGAAGGCGATATAATGGATTAACAACGCGGCTCAATGTTCGGTGCACTCCCCTTATCTTAAGTGTCCATGTAGTGAGTGAACGACACTCTCGTGAAAATATATTCATAAACTTCGGTCTTCAATTGTCTAGACATAATGAGAGGTTACAGACATGCTTATTAGTAGCTTCTTTCTGGCATTGTGTATGCGACGACCGGTGTGTGATGGAAAAATGGATGGCGACTTTCAAGATTTTTCTTTGCCACTGCTTTCAATATCTCTGAATGACTTGGCGGGAGAAACACACATGCTCAAATACCATCAGAAAAAAAAAACAAACTGATACGACTTGTGATAATAGTTTCAATTCCGTTGTACAACTTTTATGTACCTGTTGATAGAGGTGCGCGCCGATTCAAAAATGGTCGGCGGCGGCGTGTGGGGTAATTATGCTCGGCGGTGGCGGTATCATCGACGTCACGCCGATAGCACTTTTAGACGGCGGTGGTGGCGGCGTGAATCGGCGTGGCATTTTTTTGCGCCCATTAGTACAAATCGAACAATGGATATGCACGGTCAATATAAAGATAAACATCGCACAGTTTACATTTCTTCAATTATGTAACGGATCCACTGACATCGATAATCTTGAACACATGCATCAATCGTGACGTCTCATCATCATATTGTTTTAGTTTTAATTTGTGAGATCTTAGAACATGAGCAAATTTAATTAAAATCACAACATTATAACATCAATACAATTTGAAACATTTCAAGCTGAACATTGCATTAGGTCCTAAGTAACATTGCCAAATTCTCTTCGTCGACTTTCTCTTTGGATCCTCACGGCCAAGGTAAGACATTCATAGATAATTTCTTACAGTTATCCAGCCCACAGATCATCGAAACAAGCTATTATCTAGCTTTGTTTACGACAAACACGTCAGGAAACGGTTCAGTGCCCTAGTTATTAACGAAAAAGACATTCGATGAAGCGAATCGATCAATGTTACTTAGGACAATGCATTGTTCAGCTTGATTTGTTCACTTCCAAAATGCACATATAGCTCATTTGGTTAAAGTTGTAATTTTCCCGAGAATTCGACAATTTGAAATTAAAAAAAGAGAGAGAAAAGTTCCTTGAACTAATTGGAAACATTCGTTATGCTTCACTCAGAAAATTTTTCATTTAGATGTTACATGAAAACATACATAATTTTTTTCCATCTAGTTTTTAACGTAAATTTTACGTTTATTTTATTTGTAGATCGGTTCAAAAGGTGTAATTTCAATCCACATATAGCTTTAATAGGTAGTATAGGCCTTTTGAAGAAAGTTTCACTTTATTTTCATGTAACATCTAGAAAGCAATATAGATTTTATGGTACTTTCTAAGTGAATTCTATTATATTTCACATGAATTTTAGTAAATTTCTTCGTAGCATGCACATTGTTCTAAAATAGTTTGTCAAATCCATAAAAAGAACTGTAAACCACATTTAATGTCAATGATATTTGTTTATTTATTTTATTGTTTATTTCAATACTTTCATACTAATGGCTTCCAATAATAACTCGTCCACCACAACCCTTTGAATAATATATTTTCCTTCTTCAGTAGTCAAGAGTAGCACCTCGTCAAGAGTAGCGTATCGCTGGTAAACACCCGCGATGTTTGCCTGTTGCTTGGTCGTCTTGAAAGGTTCTGGTTAGATTATCACTGCTTAAAAAAAATAAAAATTGTTTTTGTTTACATAAACTGAAACTACGTAGGGGAATTTACGTATTCTCGGCAACCTAAGCAGCGACCTTCTTTCTATAGCCTTTTTCTCTATGGAACGCACACATATGCAGTATTGGTTTGTTTACAATCTTTTGCTGCCAGCTGCTCTAACAATTTCAGTCGAAAGAATTGTTAAAAACTGTTTTGAAACGCTTTTACAAAGCTCCAATCTTCTCTAGTGAGAGCGAATATTGTCGGCAACCAGTTTTTCTTCGGCAACCGTTCCATTTGAACTGCATGTAAATCTGCTGTTCTATTATCGGCAACTCGAAATCAGCTACAATTTGTAGTGCGTGTGATTCATTTCAAGAAAACCTTGCTAGATTGCTTTTTCTCAGTGGTAAAAATAACGTCAAACTGAAGCTGAAAGCATAAAGAATCGTTTGCATGCATTCAGCGAAGTGTTTTCGTAAGAAAATCCAGTGAAATTATTGTTTCAATTTGGGTTGCCAAAAATAGTCTGTCATGCCGAAGCCGTCATTTCCCCTACCTTAATTGAAAATAAATTTTCCTTGAATTTCAAACTGCTGCGCTCTCAGTAGACCCATTCATCAACTCGTCGATTCCACGATCTATTGAAGCATATTATTAATAAATTATGAATCATGTCGAAAAGAAAACAACTTACTTGTCAGAAAATTCAATAATTCCAATAGAATTTTTAAATCCAGGAGCAACTTGTCAGCAATGCACACGCCATGTTAGATTTTGTAACATTAAATTACTGACATTTGATTGCTAAATAATATATTTTATTTGGATGATTTTCTTGTGTTTTTAAAACATCAAGAATTGAATTTGCCAAATAGTAAATTGGTGTTCTTTCTGGATATCTCAATTTTTTACAGCTCAACCAGCAGAGTCAAGCCAAAGGCGGAACAACGCAGGATCTGAGTTTCCTCAAGGAAGCCTCGCCAATATACGTAACGTCACTATCGAACAACACCGTCTCCGTGACCAATACCAGCACTACGGTAACAGCGGGAACAAAAGCCAACTACTCAGCAGGATCTAGCTCACAGCAAGTTGCAACAAATAACAATAACACAGTCAAACCGATAGGTAATGTACCAACTACCACCACTACGACTGCTACTAATTTGGTGGCTGGGTCGGCTGCCACAAAAAGTGCTCAACATGTGATCAACTTCAACGCTGGCGCAAAGCCAAACACTAATCAAATTCAATCAACTGCACCTCAATCCTCCAACACCAGTATATATTCGAATGTTCCACCGTCGACATCTCGTCAGCAAAATACATCTTCTGTATCTACTAGCATTGTGACACCAAGCGTAGCATCATCATCTACTTTTAGAGCAACTCCATCTATGGTAGCGGGAGCAACGCACTCCTCGTTGGCCATTCCCAAAACTAACGAACAACAACAATTCAATCTGAATAACAACAATAACTCCATCAACAACAACATTATTAACGTAAACCATAGCCTAATAAACAACAACATCAATAGCAATATTAGTAAAACTGGTGCTGGTAACAGTTCTTGTAATAGTTACTACAGTAATCTAACAAATACGATTATCGCAAACGGTCACGGTCCCAAGCGAGAGGTAATCTAATCGCTCCATAACTAACACCTCATCAACGATTGCAATATGCTGCACATTTTTAATGTTTCGTATTTCTATTTGCTACCTTTCTATACACATCCTGACACAGCTGGCTACACTATCCGAAGGAGAACTCGAACTACAGGAGGAAACATATGAATCGAACAGCAACATATCAAGGGGAGGCACCGAAGTTCTGCTAGTGGACCAGACTTTGCGACAGGAAAATCGGTAAGTTACATACCATCTGTAGATGCTTATATGTATATAAGTTGGGAAATGTTGCAACATGGCCAACACGCTCCGAACCACCTGAAAGTAGCATCATAGAAAGTGGGTCAATGTTACTGCAAATAGAAATAAATTCACCGTGATTCTGCACGGAATTGTGAATATCTATGCTTTCGATGTGCTGCATGCATTTCTCCAGCTTATTTGATTCATCAAACGTAAACACATACATCCATGAACGTTTTCAGGATTGAGCGAAAATGTCTTCAATCTTGGAATAAAAATTGATGACCTTTGCATTAATCAGTTGTAAGACCAATTACTGAGGAACATAAGCTTTCGTATAAAAATCAGTTTTTTTTTATTTGAATGAAATGAAACTAAGATTTTCACCTGCCTACACCGATGCTTTTTTATGATATCATGCAATATTGGACAACATTATCAAGGTGTGTCAGGTGTACTTGTGAAATTGTATTGACGAGATATGTTCTGTTTTGGTGTAGGTTCGCCTCATAGCACTTTTACCAATGAAACTGACTGTCAAAGCGAGAGTGAGCACAGTGAAGCATGCAATGTAAAGAGAACCACTATGCAACTATGCTTATTATTATAGGCATGTAAGATACAGTTTCCGGCTTGTTGATGTTTATTTCCTGCCTGTCGCTGATGATGTTTGGAATCTTTTATTCATTTGTGTAATGGAACCACGAAACGATAGTTAACGTATTGAAGTGGGTGGGTCTGTCAGTTAGTTTAGCTCGTAGTTGGTTGGTTGCTGAAAAGAGCTATTTTTACGTTTTTGGTCCATATGATGGTGATGGTGGTTAATGAAATTTGTTATGGCCAAAACGGTTCCACCCACGGAATGCTAATGGACCCATGTGCGTATGGTACTGCAAATGGCTATTTAATATGATTTGTGATCTCGTAAAAGCTTTGCATGTTTACTACAGCATATTTTGCTAGTGCACTTACTATTTATAGTAGATTGAAATGCTGTTAGTTACCTGCGAAAATAAATCAGATTGCTTTCAATTTCGGTTGAAACGAAAACATGTTTCATGGGAAACAAAAGTTAAACTAGTGCCTAATTGAAATTTTGTAACTTGCTGTTTTGAACATCATTTTTTGGGCTCCCGACCATTTGCCTAAATGCGGTTTGGTTGAATGGACCCGAAAGTCGTTTTACCGTATAATGTTGAATGGGGCATAGTGGGCATACGATTTGAGCACCCCTTTTTTCTCCAACATTAAATATTTTTAAATAAAAAGGATTAAACTTATACATTTTCTAAATAGAGGAATCCTTTTTAATTTATAAATAACCCAAACGCTTCAAATATTTTTCGTGGTTCGTTGTTATAATAGTTCACCGGTTCCAAAAAAGCTTTCATCAATTCGCCGTTATGATTTTTAGGTATGTTATTATCAATTAAATAATTTAGTCAGTCCAAATTAATAACTCTGAAACGAACCATTTTCGAGGCTTGGTGTAGTGCCCATTATACAATAAAAGTTATCTATTGGCATAAACAAATAGTTCGAGACTCATCCACATAGATGTCGCCAAATTAAACATTTTACTCTGCCATTGTAGAGACTTGACGTCTATGGCCAAGTTTTTCATTTTGAAAAAAAAAATATGCCACTTTTTTGAAGATGTCGTTCTGTTTCAGAGTTATTAAAAAAAATTCGTTAAATTGTGGACTCCGTCAGAAGCTGCCCTATTTTTCTGGTGTTCTGAAGCTTCGCGGATATCTGCTTCTTCGACGACAACGATGGTTTGCGTTTCCTTGAATTCACCACAGCTTTCCTCCTCTTGCCTTAGTTCGGCTACCCGGTGCGATATTGTACTGGGACCTCTCATATTTCAGACCAAAAGTTTGAAAAAAAAAACATGGCCGACATCCGGAAGACCATCGCTGAAGTCAGGATTTTCGAGGGTGATGTGCTCGTAGAATGCTCGCTCGGTATCACTGAACATTCGGTTATGTTGACGTCTTTTAGCGGATTAAGTATAAGAATTCGATACGATGCCAACCAGTGAAGCTCAGTGTAAAATATTGACGGAAATATTGACGAAAAATATTGATGAAAATATTGACAGAAATATTGATGAAAATATTGACGGGAATATTGACCGAAATATTGTTGATTCAAACTGATAGATGCCGACGCCGGTGGTGTAGTGGTAAGCGTGACTGCTTTCTAACACCCCGATGTGTCTGGGTTCAATCCCAGTCGAGGTCAGTGGGATTTTTCTAAGGCATAAAAATCTCTGGTCACGTCTTCCTTCGGAAGGGAAGTAAAGCCGTTGGTCCCGGCCCATGTGTGTTGTGAATGGATGCGATATCCTACGCAGGTGTGGAAGCTGCCTTCCTGCACATTCGATTGTCGTCAATGGATGGCAATCGATGTCCGTTGGTTATTGGCACTAGATTGCGGAACAGAGACCGACGTTAAATAAAGGAAAAAAAAAACTGATAGATAAACAGAATTTGACTTGGAAATTTAATTTGATTCGTAACCGTTTTTTTAACACAGGAAAATGGAGAGTAAAAAAACAAACCGGTCAATTTCGTTGGATGGTTCATCACCTCTTCAAAGAAATATTCACTATCGCTTATTTCACCACCACCTAAATTATCTCGGACGCATTGGCGACGGCATTCTCGTTGATGCCGTTTCGTTTTACCCAAAGGAGCTTTAAAAAAAACATTGTGTAAAACAATTAATGAAACATTTAGACCGACACCAGACACGTACACTGAGAACACAAACCGACTAATTACCATAAGAATGTTTTATGAATTGGCTTTGGCCGTTTGGCTATTTTGCCAAATTTTTCCAGAACAAAGTTGTTGAGTTCATCTAGTACTATGAAAATATGGGTGATTAGCTGCCATTGAAAAAATCAGTTATCGCTTGCTCTATTACTCTTCCTCCATAGCTCTTTATGTACTACCTGTCGAACATCATCGATTTCTGCATGGGAATGCATTTTGTTCGGATAATTCAGGGTGAAAAATGCATTAGGTCCTAAGTAACATTGACAGATTATCTTTGTCGACTTTACCTTTACATCCTCACGTCCATGGTAAGACAGTCCCAGCCAATTTCACCACACAGATCGAAGAAACAAACTGTTATCTAGCATTGTATACAAAAAACACGACAATAAACGGTGCAGTACTCAAGTTATTAACAAAAGAGAAAGTCGATGAAGAGAATCGATCAATTTTACTTAGGAACTAATGCATTGTTCAGCTTGAATTGTCCTCCGCCTTACCGTAAAAGATCAATATAAAAAATTACATCAAAATGCTGATTAAGTAGGTAGGTCATTTTTACAACCTCATATTCCCCACCGCTTTTTCTACACTTATTGAGGTCACAAATAACTGTGCAAAATTTGAACGATTATAGTTATAATCTCGATTTGCGGGAGAATTTGAAATTTTGTATGGGAAACGGAACGATGCTATTCACTTGCTTACCAAAAATCGCTAAAGGCCACGAGTTCAAAACTCATCACCTGAAAAGTCACGAATGACTACTTACTACATACTTTAAAGTGACTATAGGGGAAACTGGACACACTTGATTCCAGGAGACACTTAATCCCCCCTTGGTTTCTCGATATTCTAAGCAGATTTATTTCAGTTAAGTTCCCACAATGTTCCGTCTAGAGAAAGGGTAATGTTATGGTGACATTTGCGTCAGATTATGAAACAAATATATTTTTGAGAGCACTTTGTATGTCAATTTTTTAGTAGCATGAAAAATCTTTAAAACATTTTGGAATTTCAACCAAAACGTATCAAGTTTTAAGTAAAATTGATTACAATCATTGCATTAGTGCTGTTACTTTTGATTGTTTGTTCAGTTTGATATGAAGCTGAAAACTCTGTTTGGGGACATTTCTTTTTCACACATTCGGCCCTAGGATGCGTGTAAACATTGATATTCAAATACATATCATAAAAGTGTCAAGTGTCCTCAATTATAAAACTTTCCGTTTTCTGGAATATTAAAAAATCGAACATGTCAAAGGCTCTAAAGAAATACTATTTTTAATGAAAAGCCCCTGAGTCCACAATGCATGCATATTATCAAAGGGGATCAAGACCCCCCTATTTTTCAAAATAATTTTATAGACATCTAGTTTTAGGAATTACATAATTTTAGAGCCTTCTGACTACTTATAAACTTACAAAAGATATTTCCCTGTGAATCTGTGCAAAAACCGCATCAAGTTTAATTTTTTTCATTGTGATATATCCAGAATAAAAACAAGGATTAAGTGTGTCACCAGTGCTGTTAATTTTCATATTATTCCATTGAAGATGAACCAATACAACCAGTCAATCAATACTGCACAAAGAACTCACTCACTATCAGTTTATATACGGCAGTGAGTATGAAAGAAGCCCAGAAAAAGTGTCCCAAACAGACATGGCGACCCAATGTCGGATCAATGTCAGGCTGATTTAAGCTCGATATAGACCCACTTTCGGGATGATGCTTATCCAATTTTTGGTTTATGTTGGCTCAATATCGGGTTGGTGTCTGATAGAAGTCAGGTTGTTGTCGGGTTAGCTTAGCTTTTTCGCAGGAATGTCGCTCAATTGAATGATATCAAGTATTTTTCAAATGAAAATGATCCATGCCTTCGTTAAATAACTAAAAAAAACTGATATCACCCATTCGAAGGAGGCCTCTTCGATAGCGGTTAGCTGTTTTTCTCATATTCACCAAATGTATTCAATTGATTTTAAGAATTACAGCACTGGTGTCCACTCTCCATCCGAAATAAAAAAAGAAGATTAACAAGTCTGTTGTTGTTGTGCTAAAATTGGTGTTGTTGTCTTACACATATTCAACTATCAATTTACCCTTTTTTGCAATATTTTAATAGGGGAAATGGATGTAATGTAGGCCTAAATGCCCCTAATTTGGGCCCATACATAAATTCAGCAATCGACTAAATTTTCAAT